CGGGGCTCCCCCGGGAGCGGGGGTCCCGCGAGACACGTATCGCTTCAAAAGCTGCAAAATCCTTGTGTGTTCTCGGAAAATCCGAGCTTTTTTTCCCGTTGTTTCTTAGCATGCGTTTGCCGCTGTCCTTACTTAGATTCAGTCTAGCGCATAGTTCATGTTTTAAAGCATAATTAGGAGGTCTCCTTGCTGGAAAGCAGCCGTCATGTTTATATTGTGGGTTTGTTTATTTATATTTTTATTTGTTTTAATTAACATACAAAAACTTTCACATGTGTTCTAAGTCAGAAATATAATTGGACTTTTCTGCAAACCAGATTCTAAATTTCTGGCAACCAGAAGAGAGTCATGTTCCTTGCAATAATATTTATTAATGTACATTTTATGGTTTCCTGCAGGTGCTTGGAAAAGGCTTTAAAAGGGGGGTTGTGCTGTCAGCAGGGTCTTTTCTGGTTTATGAAGCCTATGGTCTGATTTCTCGCTTTGCTGAGGTCCACGCCAGCGCCAAAGGTAAGTTTTTCAAACTGGGAAGCGTGCGGGTTGTTCCGTAGCAAAAGTGTCGCTTTTGGTGCCAGGATCATGAAGGGAAACTGCATTATGCTTTAAAGTTTTCCTGCTGTGATGGGAGTGTTTTCATGGTAGGATGCTTTTGAATTAGGTCAGAGTTTTGGGGCATAGTAGTGGTTTAACAAGCAGTTCCTTCAACCGTCGCTGAAGGCAGGACCAGCATCTTGCCCTGGGTAGGACAGGACACGTGCACAAGGTGCGCGACAGCCGCTTTGTGCCTCCCCACACACACGCTTCACATAGGTCCTTTTGAGAACAGCATAGGTCATTTGGGAGTACAAAAAAAAAAAAAAAAAAAAAAAAGTGGTGTGGTTAGATACCTAATAACTTAGATAAACTGCCTAAGTGGGTGCGTGGTGTTTCCAGAAGTGAGCGCTGAGCTCTGAGAGCGGCTGAGGTTGGAAGAAGCTTCTGGAGATTCTCAGGTTGGATCCTGCTGCCCAGGCAGGGTCACCTAAGTTGTGTTGCCCAGGGCCTCTGGAGAAGGAGAATTCCCAGCCTCTCCTGGCAGCCTGAGCCAGTGCTAAGTCACCCTCATGGTAAAAAAAGGTTATTTGTAACATTCAGGTGGAAGTGCTTGTGTATTAAATATGCTTCATTAGATGTGTTAATGTGCACTGTGTCTTAAGGAATAAATAATACAATTCAGCGAAGGTAAAATTGAAGATATACTCTGGAGCTAACCTTAAAGACTTAAATAAGTCCATTGAGATAGACCATTTCATATCTTTTAAGTGGTTGATGGTTGACAGAAGATGTCTAGAGCTGACAAAGTAAAAAATGGCCCAGACTGCTCTCCTAATTGTCATTGATTTGTACTTTTTGTACAGCTGTGAGTAGTGAAGCTTTTTAGCTGGAGATGAGGGGGTTGTCTTCAGCAGTCTTCAGTGGATTGTTGTTCTGTAAATAAAACTTCACTGCAGTGCAAACTCTAGTAATAACTTGGAAGAAGTGGGGAGGATCTTTGCAAAGGAGGAATAAGCCCTGTGTTTAATCACAGATGAAGGAGTAATACCCAGGAAGTGACTAGTGCTTATGCATTATTGTAAAGTCTAAAGGAAACTAGCAAGGCTTCTGACTTACTAAAATACTTTTCTGCCAATACTAAAACATTAAAAATTACATTTAATAGCCTTGGAGTTCTTTTCCTATATACTTACATACTTAATGGAATTATCTACCTGCTTCCATCTGGGTATTCCTTTTCTCCTCATTCCATCTATCTTGTGCTAGAATACAGTACTGTATGTTATTTGATATTTCTGGTTGCGGGACACACTTTTTATATATCTATATTTACACACACACTTAGTTTTCTATATCTGTATATACTTAGTTTTATTTATATGTATATAAAACTAAGTACATGATAAATATATATGATTATACATACATAAATTCAGCCAACTGTGAAAAGAACAAAGTATACTTCATATAATACTACACATATAATACTAATTTCTAGAGAAAGCCAGCTTCTTTTTTTCAGGTTCTGCTTTGTCCATTTTTGATTTTAGTGTTTTGAAAAACAAATGTTTCTGTAGATGAAATATATTTTTTGGAGTCATGTATCTGTGAAAATCTTAAGCACTTAAACTTCAAAAGTTAAAATAATGTTTAATTTTGGTTTAATGAATGAGATGGGCAGCACTATTTTGACTTGTGGAATCATACTGGGAATCAAGAATATTTTAACAAACCTCTTTTGAACCTTGTTATTTTGTTTTAACAAAACCTTTGGGTTTCTTTTGTTATTTCTTTCTTTACTTTTTATCTTCAAGTTCAGCACATTTCCTAATGAGGGAGTTGCACTTCTTGCAGTCTGTTGCACTTGTCTTCCTGATCATTTTTTCCTACTGTTTCTTCTGCTTTTCAACTTCTCACCTATTGCTTGTACTATCTGACACTTTGAGAAAGACACTTAATGTAACTGCCTTAAACTTCTAACGCTTCTTTTGCCAAAGGCTGTTCTATAGCTCCATGAGAGAGAAGAGCTCCCCAGCCCTATTGTAGCTGTGGTAAATGTAACTTACCCAGCCCTGCCTCGCATTAGAGCCATTGCTTGATTTGATCTTAGGAACTATGGCCTAAAAAGGAGCTAGTTACCTTGCTCTTTGTGGTTCGGCTAGAACATCTTGCTCTTAATGTTGTGTTTATGCTGCAATATACCATTTACGTGTAATTTGTTCTCACGTTTCCATGATTCTCATTCCTTCTTAAGTAGAAGAAGTTATAGAGCAAGCAGACTACCTGTATGGGAGTGGAGAAACTGAAAAACTGTATCACTTGCTGGTTCAACATAAAACTAGGTATTTGGCTGCATTGAATATCCTCACGTTCTTTTGACTTTACTGTGTGCTTCTGTACCAGCTTTTCAGCTAATGTTTGGCCTGCGGCATGCTGGGGAATCTTGCTTTTCTCTCTATAAAAGAAGGGAAAAAAGGACCCTTGGTATTTTTGGACGAAATGGACCTGCTTGTTAGTTGAATGCAGCTGTAGAAGTTGAGGGTTGACACTTAGTTTTTGCTGCTGTAGGGATTTTTTTTTTTTGCTTATTTACTTTGTTTTTTCAAGAAGTCCTTAAAATTTAGTGAAACAAGTCAGAATGTAACTACACATCACTAAATAATGAAAATATCTGGAATTTAGGTTATTAAAAGTTCTTGAGAGTCATTTACTTTTTTCATTTCTGAATACACTTTCTGTTTGCATTTGTATCCTGTTAAGATTTATGCCTGAATGCAAACAGCTTGCTTGTAGTTATGTCATAGCTGTACAAAACATTGCTGATGGGAGAAAATGCTTGGAATCATCCTTCAGAAAGTCCATTTCTCAAGGCATCAGATTCTATCTAGAGCATTTCTGGAGGAAGTTATTTTTCCATTCAGGTTTTTTATTATTGCCAGAAAAATGTGTAAAGCGTGGAAAACAAAAGGAAGGTCCCTGTCTGTAAGGGACCTAGTGTCAGAACAGTATTTCCTATTCGAGAAGGAAGAATGGTCCCAGTAACTGTACTTAGCATTTTTGTGACTCAGCTGAAAAATGAGTCTGCTAATTCCGTGTTACCCATTAACTAGGTACCATTGTGATCTAGTGCTCTAAATAAGCAGATAAATGTACTGCTTCATATGGTGATATGGATGGTCTGTGGATTTTCACTGTTGTTCTAAGAAGAATTTCACTATTTAGCTAATACTATAGGGATAAAGATACATAATATTGTAAAAGATGCATATTTTAAGATACATAATAGGGATAAAGATACGTGAACTTGTTGTAAACAGGAATGTGAGCATAGTCTAGCGAATAGTCTAGCGAAGAACAAAGGAGTCGCAGTTTCTCTTCTTGCATTTCTAGTGGTACTGTTGAGTTTTTTAAATCTACGTCATCTTCAAGAAAGCAAAGTCCTGTCCCGCAGTGAGGTTTGCTCCACAGGTCACAGTTGTGTGATGAAGGTATCATTAGGCAGTCTTTAATGGAGGGCTGGCATCCGTTTCTTCTTGTTTGTTCTCTTTTTTGTTTGTCTGCTCTGATTGTATATAGCATAGAATGACAGATGATCCACTGTTGTCTTCCTACCCACTTGAGATATGAACTAAGATGTTGATTTTAGATCTTTCGTTACGTTGTTGCCATTATTATTTAAAAACATTGGTGTTTTTGCTCACAACTAGTGAGGACGCAGAGCTGTTGTGGCGGCTGGCACGAGCATCGCGTGACCTAGCTCAGCTCAGTAGTACTTCTGCAGAGGAGAAGAAGCAACTGGTTTATGAAGCCCTTGAGTATGCAAAAAAGGCACTCGAGAGAAACGAATCGAACTTTGCAGCACACAAGGTGAGCAAAGCAAAATGACTCGACTGAAATCTTGTTGCCTTTTAGCTTCTGACAGTAGAAGTTTGCGGTGAATGTCAGTGTCATTCAGCCACGTCCAACACAGTTTAGCATTTCGGTGGAGAGTGAGTGAAATTAACTTTTTCTTGTTCACTAGTTCACTAGCTTCCTGCTAAGATCAGACTTCAGTCTTTTGCAGCTCATTCTTCTCTCTGTGGGAAACAGCAATTGGTTAAATGCATTCAGGACCACAGGAAGCGGTCCTGAGGGTGGATTTATTTCTTCTCCTCTGACATAGCCAGGAAAACACTTCACACACCCAGCGTGCTGTCCCTGTGCACACTAGCAGCCTTATGGAGTTTCACCAAGAAGACTGCGTGCTCTACTTTCTTCTTCTTCTCCATCTCTTTCATTTTTTCTTTCCTCCCCTCTCTTCTTTTTCTCTTTATGCTTATTCTCTGACATAGAGAGGCAACAGTAGAGTCATTTTTGTTACATTTTGGGTACAAGGATGCTGATTCCTCTGTCTGTGGAAACAAGCAGGTTGCTCTGCTGCTATTTAAATAGTTCATAACAACTATTGCTTGATTGTTACCGGTGGTAGTGATTTTGTTTTAAAAGAAATTCACTATTTAACTGTAGTGAAATATTATTCAATATTTTATTTTTGTGCTTTCAATTACAGTGGTATGCAATTTGTATCAGTGATGTTGGAGATTATGAAGGAATCAAGTCTAAAATTGCTAATGCCTTTGTTATCAAAGAGCACTTTCAGGTAAGCTGATTTGGTTTGGGGGGATTGTTTCTTCAGGGGGAGAAAGGGATTTCTTGACAAAGGATTAATGTCTAATACATAGGTGAAGAAAGTTGTGAACTGATTTTCATGAAAATTTGCAAGGGTACTTCTGTTCCCATCTCCTGATGAACATCTGTTTTTGAGTTATTTTGTTATTCCTGGAATTCTGCAGCTACAAAGGGATACAAATTGCTTCTTGCAGTAAACTGAGTCCATACAGAAGAGAGTGCTTGAATTAGCTGAAGTGCTTTTGACTCCTGTTAGTAATAAAGTACAGCTGAACTTCTGAGAAATGGGTGTGTGGCCATACCTGTAGCTGTGGATTGTGTGTCAACAGAAAAAAAAAAAAAAACAGGTATTGGTTAAGAAAAAGGGCTACTGATTTGGGTAATATCACCAGAAATCATAGCAAATTTTGAACACACAGAGTCTCTTGTGAAACTGTTTACTCTGACTAAATTCAAGTGCTTTAAATTCACTGGTGTCTTCAGTTATTTGAAGGTAGGTAATGTGCATTAAATACATCTTGAAATTCTGCACGTGGTTAATCTGGCTCATATAAAAAAAAGTCTACCTTTCTTTGTATAAACATCCATATATGTATCTGTATTATTCTATGTGTGGCAGAACAACTTTTAACATCTTTGTTTTCCTGCCCTCGGGTCCTCAGAGAGCCATTGAACTGAATCCAAAAGATGCTACATCGATTCATCTTATGGGCATTTGGTAAGGTCTTGTATTTTCAAGCAAATGTTAGTTTATGACAATGAAAGAAAGTACCAGATTATAAAATAGATGAGCAATTTGGAATGTATTGTGGAAATGCTTGGGATAATTGAGCAGCTTGCAAGTAGTTGATATAAACATGAAAATCATCTGACAGAATACAGCGAGTCGTGTTGACAAGGTCTGGCTGTTAATTCTTAGTTCAGAAGATGAAACTATATTTGGTTTTGTTTCAGGTGTGCTGTATTGAAGCATAACATCTCATTTTGCAGAGTTAATACTTCTGTAGCGTACATCAGATTGGGCTCTACTGGTTACCTAGCAGATGAAGGACAGGAATGGAAGTGTAACTTTCCAAATCTAGGGAATACTGGGGAAGTGGTTTGGCTGAAACTGGTATTTCTTATGTGTTAATGAGACACTTCAGATACAGCCTTTCCTATTGATTATCTGTCAAAAAGAGCCAAAACTTCCATTGTTTCTAATGAGACTAAGAAGGAGAAAATAAAGAGGCATTGTGGTTTTAAAGGTGGGAGTGAAGGGAAGCATAGCCACCCTTTTTGTGGCTTTTTTTTCACTTCATTTTTTTTTATCATCCACCACTCATTCCCATGTGACTTCCCCACCACAGTAGTCCATATGTTTGCACACACATGTACATTGCCACGTGAAGGAGCCCAGAGGTTGCTTTTGAGACAGGAAGCATGCAACACAAAGGTATTGAAAACATTGTTGCTTTTGGCATTAAAACATCCCTCTAGTCTACATTTGAAAGTACTAATTGCTAAGTCTCAGGGTTTCTTTAGCCGAAGCCAGGATTTAGTGTCAGCTGATATTTGGGGGTGGGTTTGTTTTTCCTCCCCATCTCCTTCTCTCCCCCTTTCTGTCTATTGTACATTTAGCCTATTATCTTGGTATTTCCGATAGGGAACATATAGTAGCAAAACCTAATGGAGGGAACTTCAACTCAATCTGTGTATTCCTGCCTTGTCCCCAAAACCTACCATGCTGTATTTCCAAATCTTTTACCTCCTCCTGTGCTGTTATGCACAGCAAAGATCCAGCAGTACATTTCTAATCCCTGTGTGAGAGTAATCAGTGTGAATTTACCCTGGAGTGTCTTAGGTATTTGAAGTACTTAGCAAATGTTTAATTCTTTAAGCATCTCTGAGATAGGTGACTGAGTAGAATAATGTTGAGTAGAAGGGACTAGCCTAGAACACAGTAGTTTCTTAGGTCTGTTTTCATTTCTATGGATTGGAATATTTGGAGAATATGCCGTTGATCTGCTTCTGAATACTAATAAGAGAAGAAACAAGGCAATAGTGAGGTCAGACAATGACATGATTGTTTTAATGTTTTAAAAACAATTGCAAACATCTGATAAAGACACTGTAAGTGTCTCATGGGTCTCCAATTCTGTCTAATGCAATAACAGTTCCCCAGAAAGATGCACAAAACTACTTGGCAGAATTTAGCAGCAATTTTAGACATTTTGCAGTGTTTGGTATGGCTGTAAAGGCTTGCACATGGAATGTCTAAAATGACTGCAGGTGTTTTAGTTCTTGGTAATAACAAACTGTCTGACACCTAAAATCAGGGATAATACCAGTCCAGAAGAGGAGAGAAATGTGAAGTGCATACACAAATGTTTCCTTTTACTCCAGGTGTTACTCCTTTGCTGACATGCCATGGTACCAAAGGAAAATAGCTGCAGTGCTATTTGCAACACCTCCAACATCCACATATAAAGAGGTACAATGTGAAAGTGTTTCAGAGATTATCTGCTCCTGCCCAAGCCACTGATACACTGACTTCCCTGGCAAAGCTGACCTGAAAATGGTGAACAGTGGAGAGGGTTTCTTGTACAAAATGGCCACTAGATTTTGTGTCACCCAGAGTAGCCTAGAACTCACAAAACGAGCATGAATTTGCAAGTTTACAGCTATCACTAATAAAATGAGAATATAGGATGTCTATCTAGGGTATCTGAACAAATGTATTAACCAGCTTGCATCTACAAAACTCAAATGGGTAGTAGGAAAGTTTCTGCAACTCCTGCTGTAATTTTTGCTAGTGGAACAATCAAATATTTGGCCCTCAACGGTATTTTTTAAGTTTGTGGAGTTGAAGAGTCACTAGGAAGTAATTTTAAAAGGCGGCTTGCTTGCCTCAATAGTCAGTTCTCATTGAAAAAGAAAGTAAACATGTCAAGAATGTCAAGCTTGCAAGTTTGGCAGAAAATTGGTCTCGGAATACAAAGTGTCAGCCGTGATTTTTAGCAGTGCAGAATCTTACCATTCCTAGCAACGAGTTCTGCAGCAGAGTGGCTGCAGAAGCAAACTTATAATAGAATTTGTGGTTGAGCCATATTGCTAACAAGTTTGTGCAGTTTCAATACAGACTGTTTTATAGATCTTTCCACATTTTAAAAAAATGGTGTTTTCCCTGTAACATCAGAAGGAGGTAGAAATGGACTTACATTTCTGATGTGCATTATGGAAAACTAGCTGAAAAGTGTGTTTTTCATAAATGCTTGCTCTCAGAGGAGGATGCTAGCCAGCATTCCATAAGAATCA